AGACGGAATCCTGACGGTTTCTTTCAATTCTTCACTGTTTCTAGACACCAAATAAGTTATGGCTGCCAAATCTCTTGTTGTCTCCTTACCACAGCAAGGCAGCTGCAGATGGTGGCCTGCCCAGTCTTAGCCATTGCAATTTTCAGGCTGGTTCCATGCCCCTCTCTGTTCTTGGCAGTGAATGTTCTGACCTTACAAATACTCTTATCCAAAAGGCAGCAGGCTGGCTCCTAGGCAACACCAGCTTTGAAGAGCTTACCAACCCAGTCCTCTTCTCTCCACAGAAAGTCCACCCCAGAAAATCAACATCTTGGCTCTCTTCTTTCAGACCCTATATGGCAATGGACTCAATGTGTGCTCTCAACAAAGGGTCAGTGGCCTCCTTCAGTAGTGATATTCCACAGTATCAATGACACTTTCAAGTTCATGGATGAAACTCACAAGAGCAGAGGAATGGGCCAAAGACTCAAATTCCTTTCAGGAGGAAGGGAGAATGAGCACAGACCTCACATGCCTAAGAAATCAATGGAAAACTTATTTCTTTATCCTACTCTTCCCACAAAAAAGGAAAACATTGAAAGAAGAGAGGAAATTACTTTCCAGCATCTTCCTATGGAGGAGGGAGAGACTGAACCAAGAGCCAACATATGGGCACTCATTAGTTCATTTGGGAGAGACAGTCAACCAACTATGGTGATGGGCACCTAACAGGAACTGAGACAGATAGACACTTGGTAACCCCTGTCATATGATTTTTCAAACATAAATACAACTCATAACATACTGGAAAGGAGAGTATTGTGACTATTTTGCAGAAAGGTAAAAGGGAAGCAGAAACAAATGGAAATGACTGGAACATACCACGCACAGAGTCATTAACCAACTTCCCTGTGCAAACCACTAAACAAAACCCTTCCCAATAACTAACATGCAAAAGTGACTCAAACCACAGAAAGATTAAAGCAGAAAAGGAAATCAAATCCTCAGCTTGGTTTTTCCCCTCCCCATCCCTTTAGATTCTTACTGAATGATGTTAATCAAAGGAAGAGCTGGTTCCTCTGACATGGTAAATTGCTTTTCTCCACATCCTGAGCACTGACCACATGGGCCTTTGCAATCCATGACTCAGAAAAGAGAATGCACAAGTGCCATTCAACACAGTGAGACTAACTTACATCCACACATCATCCTTTGCCATTCATTTAGAATGAAGCAGCATGTAGGAGTTTTTCCACAACTTTTGCCATATTCTTGGTCTCTTGTGGTTATATTGGATACAGATGAGCCTGGGGATAATACTTAACCTTTGTTATTTATCATCAAAACATTTTGTATTCCTTTGGCTCTCTCTGTTTTCTGAAGCTTGACATGTTTGTGTTCCTACTTGGGTCTTACATTTTGACACTTACTTGTTATGACATTTATGCACTGTGGGCTTCTTTTGGATCTGCTCCAAGCTGATGGAATTCATTTCCATATGATTCTCCTAGTATTTTTAAGATCACATTTAAAACGTGTGATTGTTGATAGTTGTCTAGTCCTCTCAGATGGATTACAGCAATGCAATTTACCTGAGGACTTCAGCACTTAGAAAACTGCAGCAAGTACAGCACTCTGAAATACATCTCAGCAGCACTGGCTACTGTGAACACATCAGGTCTGCTTTCTGCTCTCTACACTGGTTTCCCATAGACCTGCCAATCAAGTTCAGCTCTCAGTCCTTATCTTCCAGGAGCTGTTTGGTCTGGCCAGAGGCTATCTAAACTAAGTTCTGGGATGAAGACTGTGGTCAACAACTTTCACACCTCTGGCACAGTGGAACTCTTTAACATAAGGGTAAAGCTTGGGGGTATGAGAGACTGCTTCTTGCAGGCTGGTCTAAGACTGTGGAACAAATTCCTTTGGGAAGTAAGGACCATCACAAGCCTCATCCCACCCTCTGCTCTAAGTGTACAAAGCATATTCCTCTGACATGGTCTTCTCTAACAAATACACACAGCACAGAGAGGGAGAGAGAGAGAGAGAAAAAAATCCAAAACACCCCACTCCTCTGCACATGTAACTACCACCAGGCAGATTTGAACCTGGGATCTTTATAGCTTAGTGTAGGACGCTCTACAGTTTGAACTATAAAGCCAGCTGGCACTCAGTTTAGGTTGTAGAGCTCCCTTTATTCTTATCTCTCACTGTAAGTGGTCTAAGTGCCACTACATGGGACAGTGAAACACACTAGGTGTGTGGGTTACACCCCCTTCCCTGAACAGATGCATGAAAGAGGTGTGGTCAAGTTGCTAAATACACTACTGGGAGGTGCATAGATACTACAGTGATAAGCATGGTATAAAAAAAACACATAGAACAGGTTCAGTATGGGCTGTGGATTTGATATTTGGTTTGTACAGCACTGATACAAATTAAATTTACTTTATAAAATCAAATAATATTAGTAACTGTCCAGCTTTTCCACCAAAAAAAGAAAAAACGGGAGGAGGAGGGGTATAATGCTTTTCACAAAAAATTGTTAGTATGTAAAATGTAGGCGAAATACAGTGACATTTGCTGAATAAAGTCAATACTAGCCAAGAAAGCTATCGCATTGTAAATGAGTTTCAAAGAGTAGGAGCTGTGACAGATAAGAGCCTTAGTCAAATCCACAAGTGAGGTAATGCAACTATAGAGAAAACCAAAAAAACAGATAACGCCTATTGTATGGGCACACGACTAAAAGAAATCAATTACACCCATACCTGGTATAGAATAAGGATGTTAGACTGTCAAATAAGCAAATGCTTATTGGACAGTTGACAGGATAGTCGACTAGTCGTCCTCCCCCCCGCCCTCCTCCCTCCACTGCCTCTATCAAATAGAGGCAGCAAGGGGGGGCGAAGATGGGGGTACCTCAAAGCAGCAGCACTGCAGGGAGCCCAGGCTGTCCCCAGCTGACCCTGGAGTCCCCAGCTGACCTTGGGCTCCACGCGGTGCTGCCCTATCAACTAATCGAATAGTGAATGCAAAAATGCATCGACTATTCGATTAGTGAATTATACGCTACTTAACATTCTCAGTATAGAACAAGAAATTAAACTCAGCAGCAAACTGAGCCAAATGCTGTCTCCAATGTGGCCATCCAGCTTTACATTATTTCTGCTCCCTACTGAATAGGTAGCATAAATATATAATGTGCCCCTACATATGTATCATGGATTTACAGGGGCTGTGTTATGCCCACAGGCTTTCAACCACCTCCCAGTATCCCTGTTAGCATGCCAGTACACTCCAAATACAAGGGTGACATCTCAGACTGTGCCTTTGAACCTCGGAATTGTTTCTTCTCACTCTGTGGCTCTCACTAGTGACTCCAACTGAGATTAGATTGCTGAAAGAGGTTTTAGCTTCTTTGGGAGCAATATAACCCTCCTAAGCATATGCAGTGACACCAGTCTTTTCAAAACAATACAGCATTATTAGCCAAAAGGAGTATAGCATTTGAAAATTCTTAGATTAATCTTGAAAAGTCTAGTTCAACTGCAAGTGCAATATTAGGAGAAGAAATGGCCAGACAGTGCTACCTCAGAACCATCCTAGCTCCCTATCTTTGTCTCTGTGAGCCCATTTCTTAACAGCCTCGTGACACCTTGTTCCTTTATTCAGCTATACTGTGATCACAAGTTCAGTTTGCTTTGGTGACCCAGTTAGTAAGCATTTATGTCCCCAGTCCTTGGTTCTCCCATTGTTTCCTCCCTGCCCTTCATTCATGTGTTGATTCAAGCCAGTCCATGTAAAAGTATCTGGTTTTACCAAATAAAACACATGACTTATAGCCATGCCTGACTGCTCTCTCCCATGGGAGAAGTTAAGCCATTTATACTCAGTATATAGCAATACAAAGCAGTGGGTAAACTGAGGTTCATCTGAGGTGATCAGAGCCTAACTAGGTCTGAACTAGTAACCTAGGTGTGAAAGCCTCCTTATCTCATTACTGTGCCATCAATCCTCCAGATTGATTTTTGTTTTAAAGCAATAAACCCATGAACCCGTTGCTGTTTTAATCTCCAGACTAAGTACATCAAGCCCATTAGATGGCTATGGGTGTAACTAGATGATATGAATCAAGTACCAATTCTGCTAGAGGGTGAGCAGTAGTTTTGGTTCAAAGTTCTTAATCCCTATCGGCAAATCAAGAATTATTTACAGCAGTTAGAAAATAATTCTGAATAATAAACACATCTGAGACAAGAAAAGAAGAGAATTTGACTGAGAGAGTCACAAGCTGTTCTCAGATAGTTTGAAGAGCAATTATCAAATATACTGTTCATTATCAATTACTCACCCAGTTCTAAGGAGAACTTGTGAAGGACTGGCAAGCCAAACTATTTCTGGTCTTTACAGTCCAAAAACATAAGCATATGGATGACTTTATTTTTTTACGGCAGCAATCTGCTTACATCCATCCCGTTGCATAAGTTAGTTTTTAAATCTAAACCACTTCATCACCAAGTCATGGCCTTTTCTTGTGCATTACTCCAATCTCTTCACCCATATCTAAATCGCCCCTCTGCCTCCCTTTTCTCCATGGCATCAAGTTTCAGACTCTTGTCCTCGCTGTGAGGCCCCTACAAAATTCTCTCCATTTCTAGCTGTTCTTGACTCTTATGAGCGCCAGCCCTTCTGCTCCACCAGTGACATAGACTTCACGTCCCAGTTTCTATGCTTGTTCCATTCATGTCTTCAGAACCCCCCAAAAGACCTTTCATTTTGCTGCTGTTAGGAAGACAGGTCATTAGATGGTGATCCTAATACTTGATTCATATTGTACAGTGCTAATTCAGTGGTTAATAAAAGGCTGACCATCCCTTAAAGCTGATGAAGACCCTTGCCTTTGCATGTAGAATTGAGCTCCAGGAAGAAAATTCTGCTGGATCATTTTGGTGTAGTTGGTTCCTTGCAGGAACTCACGGAAACATGAACCAACAGGGAATTATTGTGCTGGTACATCTTACCTGAAGCATAGGAAGTCTGTGTGCAAACCAGCCTCAACAGAACAGGTCCATTTGGAATATGAGCCCTGTAATAAAGGCAAAATGGGACTATTATGAGTGCCAATCACTTCAGTACACTAGAAAGTCCCTGGTCAAGGTGGTGATGTTTCTTAAGGCCATGATATTAGAGACACTGAGGATGATAGCTCAGAGACTTTGACATTCATGTAGATGACGAGTAAGCAGGAACATAAGGCTGGTTCAGGCTGCATTCTTATTGCAATTGCTGCAGACTATGCTTCAGCAGCTCCTGTTCTAAGCCTTTTGGTTTGGTTTTGGTTCTGAAATCAGCTTTCAAACTTTTTTTCCTCAGCCCCGCTCTATAGATCGTATTTATATTTTAGTTATATTTTAACAAATTTTATGTATCTCAAACCCAGCTATTGCTAACTATCAAATGAATACTAATTTATAAATTCATTTGTTTTCCTGAATACAGCATGTGTAGTCTGCCTAATACAATTGCACTCATTACACATCTTCTAAATCATATTCATTTAATCTTCAGAATCTCCCGCTTCAATTATTTTAATGAAATGAGTCCTAGAAAAATCTGTCTCAGACAAAGTTGACTAACTCATGAAATTTGATTTGAGATTTTATTGTTATTCAGAATAGCCTAATCAGAAAGTCTCTACAAAGCCTCATAATTTGAATTAAACAGCATCAGTTATCATTGACTCACAGGTCTTTATATCATATTTTTGGACAGTTTTACTTACAGGTAGGAGAATATGTGCAATTTCAAACCCTTTGAAATTTTTGAAAGATGTCCCCATGAGTAAAACTGTAGACTATGAGTACTGTCAGGAGTGATTCGTTTACAATATGGAATCATTTATAATACTGGTGTCAGATATTATAGTGAAGAGAGACTTATAAGAATGTAAACAATACTGGGAGTATCAATGGCTAAAGAAAGCTTAAATATCAAGCTAAGTTCAGTGTTATAAGTGGTTATCTTATAGAATCACAGAACACTAGAACTGGAAGGGACCTTGAGAGGTCATCAAGTCCAATCGATGGCAGGACCGAGTACCATAGAGTGACCATCCCTGATAGATGTCTGTCTAACCTGCTCTTAAATATCTTGAGAGATGGAGATTCCGCAACCTCCCTAGGCAACTTATTCCAGTGTTTAACCACCCTGACAGTTAGGAAGTTTTTCCTAATGTCCAACCTAAACCTCCCTTGCTGCCGTTTAAGCCCATTGCTTCTTGTCCTATCCTCAGAGGCCAAGGAGAACCATTTGTCTCTCTACTCCCTGAGACACTCTTTTAGATACCTGAAAACTGCTGTCACATCCCCTCTCAGTCTTCTCTTTTCCAAACTAAACAAGCCCAGTTCTTTCAGTCTTCCTTCATAGGTCATGTTCTCTAGACCTTTAATCATTCTTATTGCTCTTTTCTGGACATTCTCCAATTTTTCCACATCTTTCTTGAAATGTGGTGTCCAGAACTGGACACAATACTCCAACTGAGGCCTAATCAGCTCAGAGTAGAGAATAAGAATGACTCCTAGTGTCTTGCTCAAAACACTCCTGTTAATGCGTCCCAGAATCATGTTTGCTTTTTTTGCAACAGCGTCACACGGATGACTCATAGTTAGCTTGTGGTCCACTATGACCCTTAGATCCTTAATGTGTCCCAAATTACACGAGGATGTAGAGGTTGCATCAGTATGTAGTGACAGACAGTGTGGACAAAAGATAGTATTTCCAGTCCCTAAGCAAGTCCACAAACAAGTAAAACTGTATGTATATATACCATGCGTTGAGATAAGGGAAGAATCTGATACTTCCTGGCCCCTGTCTTAGAAATTATGGCAATTAGAAGCAAGTAGCATGGAAACTCTACCAATGTAACAAAATAAAAACAAGCACATGGGTCCCTCTGCAAACACCTGATGCAATTTCCTGCTTTTCAGAAGAACTTTTTTTTAGTGAAGAGGGATTGGGGGGCGGGGGGGAGAAGAAGGAGAATCAAAAATAAATTTGTTTAGTATTCAACTGTAATTTGTCAAAAGCAATTCTGGTTCCATTCAAATATTTAAAAAATGCAACAAAACCACCAATAATAGTAGAATTCATGACATAAAACCCATGTGGGCTGTCCCTTCAACTACATGTCACACTACTGGCTTCCTCTGCTTATCCCCCATTTAAACCAAAATTTTAACACAGTCATATCTCTTGGCATGTATACCAAATACCAGCATTTCCATGTCTCCCAAGGTTTCTGTTTTCCTTTTAATCACTTCCCTTTGTAACTTTTTTTAAACCCCTTTCTCCATCTCAATTTTCATACTTTCTTGTCCTCCACTTCTGTCTCATTCCAGTTGATACATGTGTAGTGCTCCTAACCATGACACATACTAAAGGCCTCCTCCATGTAACTGATGCGATATAGTTTTTACCTTTTATGTAATAAAGGGTATCTTTAATGCCCTAATTGTTCCTGCCATCCCATTTGTATATGACATGCTTTACCTCCAAAATCTCTTTTTCCTAAACCTCCTTCATTTTTATAATATCACAGTCTCTTTTCCAAGAGCAATAGACCTAATGGGCCAAAATTCATCCCAGTTATAAATCTGAAGCAGTGGTATTACCCTGAGAACTAATTTGGTTTAATTTCATTATCTTTTTACCATATTTTCATTTTAAGAAGTTCTGAATTGTCTTGATTACTCTCTGCTGCCCCTTCGCCAGGCCATTACAGATCAAATCCTAACCTTCCTATCAGAAAGAGCTTCCCTTAGGGTATATCTACACTGCACAGCTATTTTGGGATACTAGAGGTATCCTGAAATAGCTACCCCACATCTACAAAAGGCTTTTGAAATTATGGGCAAGCTATTTCACCATCCCAGTAAACCTTGTTACACAAGGGATAAGGAATGGCTCGAAATAGCACGTTATTTCAAAATCTGACACTGTGTGGACACGCCAAATTTCAAAATAAGCTATTTAGAAATAGATTCTAAATAAGATACGGATTTGCGTAGTGCAAATTGCATATCTTATTTTGAGTTTAGGGAGCTGTGTATATGCACCCTTATAGAATACATTCATGAAAGAGTCTTCAATAAAAATCTTGAGTAACAAATATTTAGAGAATTATTTTAAAGGATTCTTAGGCTTCTTAAAGGAGCGAAAATTATTGTCCAAACAAGGCCCACCACTAATAAACCCTAAATCTAAACAGTATGGCCATCTCTAGTCCAAACATCAATTCATAGAAGCAGTCATTCTATTGGCTTGTAGGACTACCAGTCATACAATCTGCATATCTTTAAATTAATGTAATATGAAATTAACTTAATTCAATTGAGTTTTAATTAATGCAGATGACTTTCTAAAAGCCTTTTCCCTTTTGATAAATGATCCTTTGGTAAATGTATCCTAGTATCAAAATACTTAAGTATTCTAAATGGAGATTGAGAAAAAAAATATCCAGTGTGCTAAGCAGACTGCCAAGCCAAGTAGTACAAATAGCGCCATTTGAAAGATGAAAGAGGAGAAAGAAAAAGCACTCACTGAACATGATTCAAGTAATTTATAAAAAGCCAGGCTCTTTACCCTATTTTTAGCTAGAACACAATCAGGCACAGAACTTTTATTTTGCTTTTTTCCCCCATTTACATGGACCATTGAGGCTTAAAGGGGAGGGGGAAAAACAGCAAAAAAGCAATTGAGTTTTCTCCCGTAACACTGAAAATGAAATTAATTTTGTATCTGTCATACAGAGTATATTTGGCAGCCAAATGTATTGATCTCTCTGGTTTCTTTTGCTTTACATTTTTACTTGATTTTCTATTGTTTAGTCATGGGCTGCTTGTTATAGTCTGGGTTACACAAGTGTTTGCTTTGGCTTACAAGACTCAAGGGCTATGCCTACACTCGTGGCTTCTTGTGTGAGAAATATGCAAATGAGGCTAAGCGTGGAATATTGCCGAGCCTCATTTGCATACCTAATGAGCCGCCATTTTGCAGAAGAGGCTCTTGCACCAGAAGGAGCTATCTACACTGCCCCTTCTTGTGCAAGAAAAACCCTCTTGTGCAATGCCGTTATTCCTGAAAATAATCAGTGTAGTGCCATTGCACAAGAGGGTATTTCTTGCGCAAGAAGGGGCAGTGTAGACAGCTCCTTCTGGCTCAAGAGCCTCTTCTGCAAAAGTGGCGGCCCATTAGGTATGCAAATGAGGCTCGGCAATATTCCACGCTTAGCCTCATTTGCATATTTATCGCGCAAGAAGCTGCAAGTGTAGGCATAGCCAAGGTGTTTTCCTTTATGTGGTCCAAGGAGCAAGCAAAGAAGGTCTCAGCAAGTGTTTTTACTTAGATTGCCTACTGAGTGGTTCTTCAGTGTTTGTTTTCATTCTTTCAATCGTCAGTAACCAGACAGACATACTTTTCCTAAATGATTTACCCTCCAATATCCCAATCAACTAAATCTTGAGGTTCAAAAAGTTTCAGGCTATGAATTGCCAGAGGTTTGTGGAACATAGTTCGGGGGTCTTACAAGATTTTCCCAGAGGATATATTTCAGCAGAGCATTTAATCGTGGTTATCTCCATCTCTAAACCATACTGATTTAATGGGATTTAAGCACGTATTTATGGTTACATGCTCAAGTGCTTTGCTGAAGTTGGACCTAAAGTTTGTTGCCATACAAGATTCCGGTCCCTGAAGATCTAACCAAAGAGAGTAGCAATGGGAAATTGCATCTCCACTGCAAGACTCGTGGCCTAGGTTCCCAGAATGGTCACAGAATCATAGAATCATAGGGCTGGAAGAGACCTCAGGAGGTCATCAAGTCCTGCCCCCTGCCCAAAGCAGGACCAATCCCAACTAAATCATCCCAGCCAGGGCTTTGTCGAGACTTGAAAACCTCTATGAATGGAGATTCCACCACCTCCCTAGGTAACCCTCTCTCCAGGGTCAATTCTCTCTCCATTCCTATTCAGATTCTATATGCAGGAGCTAGTTGGACTTGTCATACCACATGAGCTTAAGTACCAGCAATATGCAGACAACACATGGTTCTGCTTATCTTTCACCCTACAAGCCCTCCCCTATCAAGAGGGTTCATTGCTCAGATAATAGGAACAGATCATGTGTGAGAAACAGCAGGTTGAAGCTGCACCTGAGCAAGACAGAGATTCTGTTGGTGCTTTGAGCTACGTTGTGCTGTGGCTGCACATTCTCCCGTCTCCTTTGATTTATGGTACACCCCTACAATTGGTCAAATGAATTCAGAGTTTAGGAACAGTCTTGGATTCCTCTCTGACCATACCCTCTCACACAGAAGCATCCATAAATAACACTTTCTACCATCACCAGATAGTTAACAGACCCCATCTTATCCTGGTGGACTATGACCTAGCCTATTATTCACATCTTCATCACCTCTCACCTGGAATACAGGAATACATTATATCTGTGTATGGGATACTCAACCGTCAGGAAAACTTGACTGGGACACAATAAAGGCTGAAGTTTAAAAAAAGTCTTATAGTGCAGATGATCTGATTCTATTTTCGGCTCTAGATTTGGACACTTGAGGGGACTCTGCACAAATCTCCCCGCTTCTACATAAGGTTCAGTCACCTTAAGTGGCACCAAATCTTCCCTTGCTGGAAGTTACTCTACAGATCCAGAAACTGCATTAGCTGAGGCAGGGCCAGGTAGGCTGCAC